GTTTGGTTTTTAATTCTCCTGCTCAGACACTGCCTGACCTGTTAGGAACATCATAGCAGAGTGTATAATCTTGCCATAACATTCCTTACAGAAATAACTTCCCAAAGCAGCAATGGCGTTTTCATTAGTGTTGGCTTCTGTTGTTAATTTAAAAAGTTATGGAAAATGCACAACTAAGCAAGGTCAGACTGAGTTTTCTGAACAGGCTGGAAAACTCGGTGTATACAAATGCCTCCAGCCAACACCTCAACCAGCCTGACTGCCAGCTCAACCAGGGTTACTGTTGGAAGGGTTTGAATGTTTTAACATTCTAATTTTTGATGGTAGTGCTCTATACAGAGCAAGTACAGGGAAAGAAATAGTTTTTTTTAAGATATATATATACATTCCTAATGCAGCTGGGACAAAAACCCAGAAGCTCTCAGGCAATCACATTCTTCTCTAATCCCAAAAAGGCAGCCAACTTGCCTGGTGGACTGAAGAGAATACAGAGATACTTAGAAATTAGTTTTTAAAAAACAACTTGGTAATACACTGAGAACAAAGGACAGTATCAAAATCATGCTGAATTTTGGAAACTTCAGTGACCTGTTCTAAGTGCAGAGTCTAAATAGCTTGAAACTTTACTTTACTAATTTCATTTTTATCACAATATCTCTAAAGAGAAATTTACAGTTACATTTTTAGACGCAGAGTCTCATAACTGCATTTTAAGTTTCAAGTCTCTTTTACATAAAGAAGCCATGGGATGGGGAATTTAAGGCCTTTAGACACAAGCATATGTCTCCCTTTCAACACCAAAACCTTCTCCAGTGTTCCTGAACAAAGTTCCACATACAGTTTATTTTTTTTAATGCATCCTCCCTTCACTATATCCCCTCATAGGGGGATTACAACCATCAAGCTTAAGCAGTGCTCAGAGAACAGAACACAGACACTTCAGTTGGGCCTCTTTTAAATGTAGAAATGTGCATGAGAAGCGGCAGGATGCTTGAGAAAGAAAATGACAGTTTGACTTTTCTCTGTTTTACAAACTCTTTGAACAAGCCACTGACCTGTAGCTTATGCACTTTCGGGTTCTGGTAGACCTCCTTTCAAGCAGCTTTGATTTTGGCTTTTTGGAATCCTTCTTCTTTTCCTCCTGACCTTCAGGTATTTCTGGTTCCTGTTCACAAAAGACAAAAGTGTCAAAAAACTTTATCTTGTCTGAACTTATATGACACAGACACTCAAATGAGACCTAGAAAGCTCATATCCTCAACACAACACATTTGGGTTTCTAATGTAATGACTTGTTACAGCAGAATTCACAAGAACACTTACACATATTGCCCTTACTGGCTACGTCATTTCACAAACACAGAGTTTAGGGGTTTACTGTGTTCATACTTCAACACTGAGATCAAGCCTCACGTCATACTCCCACAACTTGTACCTGCAGCAGCTGAACAAATTGTTGCTAGCGGACACCTTTACGTGGTGCACTTTCTGTAAAGTTCCACACAGGTCATGCTCCTGCACTCAGCTCTGGGGAGGTCACAGCTTGAGGACTGGCGACAGTTTTGGGCACCACAGGATAAAAAAGACCTTGAGGGGCTGGAGCAGGTCCAGAGAAGGGCAACGAAGCTGGGGAGGGGTCTGGAGAACAGGGCTTGTGAGAAGCAGCTGAGGGACCTGGGAGTGTTTAGTCTGGAGAAGACGAGGTTCAGGGCAGACGTCATTGCTCTCTACAGCTCCCTGACAGGAGGCTGGAGTGAGGTGGGAGCTGGTCTCTTTTCCTAGGTAACCACTGGTGGGACAAAAGGAAATGGGCTTAAGCTGCACCAGGGGAGGTTTCAATTGGATATCAGAAGAATTTCTTCCCTGCCAGAGTGGTGAGGCTTTGGCCCAGGCTGCCCAGGGAGGTGCTGGATTCAAAACGGGCTCAAAAAACATGTGAGCACTGCAAGCCAGGACATGGCTTAGTGGTCATGGTAGTGTTGGGTTGATGGTTGGACTTGATGATCTTAGAGGTCTTTTCCAACCTTAATGACTCTACGACTCTATATGGTTTCCAAGTTATTAATAATAAAAAAAAAAAAAAAAAGGTTTAAAAATCTGCCCCCAGGCTGAATTTTACAAATATGTGCTTCCAGCCTAAGGCTCTTTAGCAAGTTTGTAAAGTCTCATTTTCCTGTTATCCAGGAACGGAGAGAAAGCTGGCTTTGCCTCAGTCAGAGTGGAAAGTTTGTTGTTAAAACAAACAAAACTTTTCTTTTAAACTCTCATGCAAGGAACAGAGTATATCATTCCAGACGAGGATATTTGGCTAAGACTTCAAAAGCATCACTTTAAAATGTATTTAAAGGAGAAGAGGCTCTTCTCCACATGAATAAAAATATTTTTCTCTTCTGTAAAGGGAAACTATAGAAAAGCATCTGTTAATAAAACACTAGATGTTTATAGTTTTTAACCACGTGACACTTCAATATGCATTTGCTGGAGGCAAACGTGACACTTCTAAGAGGTTCTACATCATCCCTCTGAATCCTAAGGTAGAAAGATGATTTTCCATCAGTTTCAAAGGAAACTCAGGCTCAGGCCTAGGTGACTGCACAGCAGACACCAGGGCTAAACAAACTGAATCTCACCTTAAATAGACTACAGAATGGCAGAGGGATCTACTCAAAACCCAGCTGTAATGGGTAGGGGGGTGATTCTAAGATCTCTACTGACAGAGGATGAGGACTCTGTGTGGCACCAGTTGGCTCTAACAAACATGAAAAATTCCCTTGGTTTCTTTACTAACTTCAGTGTCGGTGTCAAACGAAGGGTCTAGAATCAGCGACCTGCATATAGATGGATTTTCCTTTCCAAGATGCTGCCAGCACTTCTAACACACCACTGAGAAACCTCTTCCCTGAGAAGCCTGGGAGATAGAACATGGACACAGGGACTTACCTGAGGTGGAATGATGTTCTCAATGCTGATCCCCACGTACACCAATCGCTCTTTTCTTTAGGAGAGAAAAAAATGAAAATAAGCTTACAGAAAGACTGCAGATATTTTATCTAAAATAATGCTGTAATTAGCACTGTTTGAAGTTCTTACTATTGCTAGGCAGAAGCATCCCAAGAGGATGTTCCAACTGAAGCCAGTTATTTGCATTGGAATTATGTGTTAAATCTCACATGATTCCATTTTCCTGCATGCATAATGTAGGAGATTCCCAAAGAGTTCTGACAACAGGAGTACTTGATGATTGCAGGCACCACAGAAATTATCAAATCAGGGTGTAAAAAGCAACTAAAAAAACAACCGAAAAATAATAACGTTATAGTCAAAATTCTGCTGTTACACCTGTAACTACCACCAACTTTGGAGGTGCTGAGAGATAAAACAGGAATTCGAAACCACATTGAACTGGAAAAATTATGTAAAGATGGGATGCAATCCAAAATGGACAAGTGCCAGATTTTATTGCTGGGCAGGAACAATCAACTCGAGAAACACCAGGGAGCACGAAACTGTCTACGTAGCAATTCTTTGCCAGAGGAGAAGGACCTGAACAAAGATCAGGGGAGTGAAGCTGCTGTGGAGAGAACGGCGATGACAGACGGGCGTGTGAAGAGGAGAACAGCCTACGGGACAACCGAGGGAAGCCTGTCACCGAAGTAAGCCCCGGTCACACCTCACCACGGTACTTGGTGGCATCTGGCCACCACACATCCTTCAGGAAAGATGGGATCCAGCTGAAGAGTTCAGAGCTGGTCTAGAGAACACCAAACATAAGATGGGAGAGAGAACGGTACTCAAAGACAGGGAAGACTCTTGTATGGAGAAGTAGGCTGTCCTCCCTGCCCACACTACATTGGTTGGACCTGATGTCTTAAAGAGTCTCTTCCAAACAAACAATTCTATGATTCTAAGATTAAATCAAGGTAAGTAAAATTCAGTTTAGACTTAACTTGCTCAATATCAGCATCCTGCATCATCTGAACTGCTCTGGGCACAGCTCTGGCTCCTGGCCTCTACTTGCAGCTCCTGAAGGACATAAGTCTCCCATAGGTCTTGTTGTACCTGTCAGTCCCAATTAGAGATGTCTTGGATGCCCTAGCACCTTGCAAACAGCACTGGGTGCTCGTCTTCAGGCTACTGAGGTGAACTTGCGAAGAGCAGTCTGCCAGGAAGAACAGTCAGGTACTAACAGACTGGGGTGAGTAACCAAACTACCACCACCTTAGGTCCCTATTAGCCTTTTTCTAGGAAAAGAAGGGATAATTTAATCAAATTAAGATATCAAAGAACTTGGTTTCATTTATTTGGCTTTGGAAGGACTTTAAAAACAAGCCACATCTCTACAGATTTTTATATTATTTACAGTAACAGTATTTTAGACTATACACTGAAGAACAATCCTGTAGGGGAGCAGAGGATGAACAAGACATTTGCCAGCAGATCTCCAGCTTTGAAGATCCAGCGAAACATCATCAGAGTAAAAATGAAATCATGCAAGAACCAACACTAACCTCTTGTGAGCTTCCCAACCACAATCAGACTTCTGCAGTTACAGCAAGTGACTGTATGAGCACCCACCACACTACAGGTGAGTCAGAACAGGGTGCATCATGTACGTGAAGTCACCTAGACCTGTCTGTACACAAGGTGCCTGAGATGTGAAGTAACCTTCGATACATTTACTTCATATGTGCATTTTGTTTTGGCAAATGGAAGGATCTGTGTAAAAACTGTTTCCATCACTTTCTAAAGAATCTAACTAAATTTTAGAAGTGTTCTGCACTATACATTTTTATCCAAACTGGAACAGGCTCCCCAGGGAGGTTATGGAGTCTCCCACCTTGGAGACTTTTAAGACCCATCTGGATGTGTTCCTGTGTGACCTGCCCTAGACTAGATGGTCCTGCTCTGGCAGGGGGGTTGGACTCGATGACCCCCGGAGGTCCCTTCCAACCCCTAATGTTCTGTGATTCTGTGATCCTGAGAACTCTTTAATGAAAGAAACTAGCATAATACTCTTTTCTTACCTAACAACTTAGGAACAATCACAGTTCCTAAACCAATACTGACAAGAGTAAAAATGGATTTTAGGTTGGTTTACAGCCAAAAAGACCATGAACTTTGACAACTTCGTATCATTATATCTAAATTGAAATTCTTGGCTGTGTATAAAAGTAATTGGTTTTGTCACCTAATGTTGGTTCTTGGAACAGACAGATGAAATGAAATCTTCACCCATCCCAGCACCAAGAGATTGGCTGGCTGAGGAAGGATTTTGTCACACACTGTGCAAAATCGCCATGCTTTTGAAGCAATTAAATTAGCATCTTAATGAATACAATGGCTAAAATGAGAAAAGTAGAGATGTGAATGTTTTAGTATTCAGCCAGTGTCTTTGATAGTTTCCTCCACTTCTCATTTCTCGTTATGCAAAACGTCAAGAGACAAGAAAGATGAAAAAAATTCAGCTGTTTTTAAACATGATCAGTGTGGCTTTTGAGTTCCACCTTTCTTCCCCCTGGCCTGAGTACACACTGCTTAAGAAGTCTGCAGATGAAACAAACCGATCCTGCTGAGGTAAAGGTCTTAACATGTAAGGCAAAATGAAGTATCAAATGCAGTCCTTGCTGATATGTAGCACACAGAAGCTCAACAATTTAACCACTAGCTTTAAAACGTTTGAACCAACAGGTCTCCAGCAGCAGGTGCAGGTGAGCACTGAGTTGTTATGAACTCTTCCTAGATGAATCCAAAAAACAGTTTCACTCTTGTAAGCAGCTGCAAAAGTTGCTAGAGGAAAGTCATGGAAGCATGCACAAAAGGAACAGCTCCACCTGATTTGTTCTGGGAGAAGCAGACAAGTAGTCCCTGAAGAGATTTTCTAGCAAGAAGTCTAAGAGTCTCTAAATGACCTAAAAGTGGCATCCAAAAAAGCTTTCAAGTCCACTCCCTCCAGCTGGTGGTAGGACATGATTCTAGAAGTCAGTGTGTATATGAGAAACCTGAAATACAACCAGGCTGTTGCGGTCGCACCTTGAAAGCCAAGGTGAAACTTAAAGTTTTCATTAAAAAAAAAAAATCAGTGAAATTATGCTTTGGGGTGTGTAGGAATATAGCTGAGCATCTGGATCAACTTCAGTTGGATTCCAGAAAGGCAGAGAATAACTGGAAGAGCACAACAGTATTTCACTAGTTCAAAAGGCACTATAGTAACACTGGTTCAAAGCACCTATAAAGAGTCTGTGCCATGATGAGACTGCTGGCTCTCTTCTCCTTCCAAAAAGTCAGACAGCACATAATGGGAGCTTACAGAAACACTGCACTAAAATACTTCTGTGTCCCAACCAACCAACCTGCTTTAACTTTTACACCGAGCTGTAATAAGGACTATAGTTTCTTCTAGAATTATAATTCTTCAGCCTTTTTACCTTACAATTTGCTAAAATATACCACCATTAAGTTGAAAGACTTCAATATTCAACTATTGCATTGTGAAATCTTTTATATCCCAAGCTCATTTCTTTCTTTAGGAAATAATAATAAATCCTATCAGTCTTATGTTATATAAAACATTAGGTTCATTTGGTGTGAGGATCAGCTTGGAAAATGGTTTTTAAACATCTGTTTCAGACACTGCAAACTGCTATGACATCAGGCGTATCCTCTCCTGTAACCGTTAACAGATCGTATTTTAACGTGACACTTGTGATTTCAGGAAAGCGAGACAGACTGGGAAACATTTGTGCTCCATGTAACATCCAGCAGGAGAGTATTTTCTGAAGTAGGTGCAAAAATATTGTTCCTTAGCAGAGTCTTCCCAGCAGAAAGCAAGGAGTGGACACAGTTCCCTCTGGCCCACACTGCTGCGCAGACAGAGGCTGTGCCTCAGCTGAGCTCACTCCTGAATATCACTACCAGGTTCATTCTCCAAGTTACAAATTCAGCAGAACTGGCAAGCTGTGCATCGTGTTACCACAGCGGGGTCTAGATCCAGCTCTGAGCAGAAGCAGAGATGTTAGAAACAGTCAGTGCCTGACCTGTCACTACCATCGTTGCTGATGCCGCAGAGCTAAGGAGCAGGGGGTTTGAAGGAAGCTGAAAACACGAATCATGCTCTGCTCTTCCCAGCACTGAATCACCACAGCCCACGGGACATGACAGCACCTGCTACAATTACAAGCCTGCTCAATTACTTTCTTTAGAAAGGTCTCACCTCTTGCTGAAATTTGCCTTTTAAGAGACAAATCATGCAAAGTTTTGTTTAATAATGCATACAGATGTTATTACATTTTGCAAAGGATTACATATATGTCCTAAAAGGTACAAATTATGCAGACTGCGTTTCATGTCCCTCATTTTCAGGTCTGAAAACTGCACATAAGGCGTTTCAAACATGAAGGATGTTGTTCATAAATGCAGTAAATCGGTTTGCACTTAGCCTTTGGTAATGGCGGCGGCACAGACAAAATTTCATTCCAAGTTGTAATTTTGCTGACCCCCTGCACTACAGCAATTGCATAATCTTGCAAATTTGGCAAAGTTTAACAGAATCTAAAGCAACAGGACTCAAAAACTACATTAATCTGAATGACATTTGTAACATAGTCAGGACTCAACCTCGTTTGCAGCAGCAATTCTCCACATGGCTGACACGTGCAGCTGAACCAGTACCAAAAATCCTTTAACTACTTGTGTATGAAAGCCAAATTTGTGTTCAGGCACCTTAATCGAGCTTTAATATAAATGGATTTACTTATTTTTCTCAGTTATTGGCCGCCTTCTCCCTTCTTGCAAACTCTGCCAGCACTGCACCACCAATAATCAGTGGGAAGTCAGAACTGGTCTTACCAATTTCCAGTCTCATGGCTACTTGCCTCCGCAGCCCCCAGTTATTCTCCTGCTTGCTCAGTTATCCCCACCCCTCTGCACAGCAGCTGGCTGTCAACGCAACCAAACATCAGTACCTGCGTTCTGCACGCTCCTTCTTTTTTAAGACAACATCCAGATCTTGTAATTGTTCTTCTAATTTCTCACAGAGCAATTTCTAAGGGAATGAAACACAGGATTAGTTGCTTTCATCACCGTTGAACTGACGTTCAGAAACTTCATTCACTGTTTCTGTATTTGGCTGGGGGAAGGGCGAGTGCCTTGCTACACTGGAGGCTCCTCTTTGATGAACAAGGCTTTACAACACAGATTGTCCTCCTAAAACATGCACTTCATCATCAACTGCTACAGAGAAGCACCCTCCCAGTACCAGGCATCCACTGCAGGACACAACGTGCCTAAGGCAAGATGTTTAGAATAAACACACTTCTAAATTAAAACCACATTTTTGTTGGTACTTACAACTTTACCTCAGGGAAACCCCAGGATTTCATAGGTGTACGTAATATAGTAGAGTAAGGTGAGTGTGTACAGACAGCGATGCCCGTTTGTCCCTCATCTTAATCTTTGGAGAACACAAGTGTAGACACCACAGTAGAAAGTAGAGATACACCTCATGATCATTTTTATACCAAATGTTCCATTTATTAGAACACCACTTAATATTCAAGGAGCCACATGTAAAAATGACTTTTTAAGGACAAATTGGGCCTTATTCCATGATAATACCCTCTCCAAACTGTTTCCAAGGATCACCCTCGTACTTTTACAAACCTGTCATTTTTCCCATTAAAATCTACTCAAGAGCAATAGAGCAGGTAGATGCTCTAACTACAGGCCGTGATCCCAAACTGTGTGAAGAAAACATTCTTACATATTCAAGATCATCGCCACTTAAAAACATCCTCAGGAGACAACTGCAAATCACTGCTCAGTGCAGTCACATCATGCCACACGCAGTGTGACTGAGCCTGCTGCAGGGCAACCACCCTTTTGGTAAAGAATTCTTCTAAAAGCAAGGATCAGGACCAGGCAGATTATTCTGAAAATGTGCATGCCCTGTTAATTTAAAAAGATCAGCATCATTCACTCTCTGTCTGATCCCCCCACCCTAAGCACCATTCTTGCACATCTTCCTATTTTAGATGTACATTAAATGAAACTGGATATGTGCACTGATTTTTTTTTTTTTTTTTTGGCAGAAGCATCTCCTAACCTTCAAAAAAGTGCTCATATTTGTCTGTTACTTGGACAGCTCTATTTATTACTTATTGTCTGTTAGAAGGACAGCTCTGCCTTTCCCAGCAGAGGCAAACTATGCCATCATCTGTACCATCAGAAATTGCTTTCTCTAACCAGCTTCTAAGCAAACATCTCTCAAGAAGGGACAGCACTTCAGAAACAGCTGCTTGCTTTGGCCACTGACTCATCTCTCACTGCCACTGCTTTCCCTTCCAGTGTGCCAACAGGAGGTTTCTTTTGGGAAAAATTAAGGCATTATATTTGAATACTATATTAGTCTTGAGGTAGTTTAACAAAAGATGGGAGAAAAACAGTGTAGTTGAAGATTCCCATTGACATGTCAGCCACACCCAGTCATTCATCACTGGCAGAAAAAAAGAAGGGAAAGAAAAACCTCACAAAGTTCAATTTTACTAGCGGGCAAGAGAGAAGCTCCACATCCCTACCATTCAGCACAATCTATTTCTTAAGAGGAAAAAAAAAGATAAAAGAACTTGTTAAACTCCCAGCAAATCTCCACAATCCCAAGCAAAGCTGAGGAGAACAGCGAGGAGGAACCGTACATGCTGGCAAGGTGGGCAGAACCACTCTCCATCAGGGATTATCATCAGCGGAGGGCGCAGGCAGGCGGTGTGGTACCCACTGTCACAGGAGTCACACAGCAAAATCTGGGCAAACAAAAGGAATCGTGAGAGTTCGGCATTCACAACACGGAACAAGCTCCAGAACTTTCTCCAGCCAACAGGGAAGCACTTTATAGATACTCTGGACTGTGCCAAAACAAAAAAAAAATAACCCTGTATCACTTATCACTAGAAGCCTCTGGGGCCAGGGGTTGTTTCTGTGGGGAAGTTTATATAACACCGTTTTTCATTTCATCGCCAGATTTCCTCTCACTGTGTGTTCTCAGGCACTCAGCACTACTGGACTACGTGGGTTGTGTGCCCGTAGCATGCAATCTGGCAATGCTTTGCAGATCTCAGTGGAAAACTCCATCTGGAGAAGATGTGGTCTGCACTGTTTTCCCTGTGCACTCACATCCACACGAGGGAAACCTGGCCACTTCCTCAGTCAGGATGATTTTATTTCCCATCAGTGGAGGAAAAGCCTTGCAGACTCATAGGGGTATACAAACTGGGCGACTATTAGAATTCATACTTAGCTGGGTGAAATTGGAGATAAGCCTTTCCATTAAAACTGAGGAACAAAGCTGGAATAAGCTGCGCAAGTATCTACTGGAATTTTCATCTCTAACAGCCCAAAGGTCAAACTTTGTCTCAGCTATGCTAGGATATCAGCCACATGCCTGAGAGAGTGCTTATTTTTATTCACAGCAGGATTACACATTAGGATTTCCCAGATAAACAGAGGAATTCATGATGATATCTATCCCTGATAAACCAGGACCATAAACACTTGAAACAGTGGAAGCTCACTGTGCTCTTTCTGGGTGGGATTTTGCTGTACCCAGTCCTCAGGGTGATGTGCAGCTATATCCAATGACCACGTTACTGACAAAGATAAAAAACAGACTGGTCCCAATATTGAACCCTGAAGGGTCACTGGTTTCCAGCTGGGCATTGAGCTGTTGACCGCAGGTCTTTGGAGTGTGACCATCCAGCCAGTTCCTTATCCATCGAGTGGTCCACCAGTCAAATCCGTGTAACTGCCATGTAATCTCCTTCCCTCCTTATTCAACGTAAACCCCTGTGAGTTTAGCTCCTAAAACCTAGAGAGTGTTCTACATACAGCCACCCCAAAGGATGATGTGCCTTGAGATACCACCAAAGGCAATCCACCAACCCAGCCCAAGTCAGCAACAGCTCTCCACAAAAGCCTACCAGCTCAGGGTGATTGGGAAGGCCACACTTCTTGCACGGCTCATCATCATCAGCAGGTGCAGCTTCTTCTTCTTCCTCTTCTTCCTCTTCCTCCTCCTCTTCTGAGTTTTTTTCACTCTCTGAGTTCTCACTTTCTTCATTACTTGAGTATTTCCACCGGCCACGTGTTCGCGTCCCCGTCCACCGAACCTTACTCCTCTATGAGATATACCATTTCAGAAAGAAACACAAAGGAAGCTCACACAGTTTCTTCCCAGATCTTAAAAAATATTTGTCTCTACAAAGAAGTGATTCACCTCAACCGGGACAGCGGCAATAGATTTACAACAGAATGTTTCAACGGACAGATAATCTTTCAAAGAGCTTTAAAATGCAACAGAAGGATAAACATTCATATCTACCTCCAGAAAGGAATTTTCAAATCAGATGGAGAAGTAGGAAGACAAATTTGTCACTTAGCCCCTTTTTTTTCTATTTTGACAAGGTAAACTCCCTTGTGAACACCCACAAGCATCCATACAGTCAAACCACACACAAAAGCTTGTTTCTTGCAAAAGCTGACCAAAGGAACATAATCCTCACCATTCCTATGGAAGTGTATACTCTCCTTTACAGATAAGCCTGCGGGTATTCATTATTCCCAGTTAATAAAGCTGCATTACCTTGTTAACCTTAGAATTTGACTCCTTCTCTTGTTTTTTTGCATCTTCTTTTCGTTCTGGTTTTTGTGCTGCTGCAGGTTTCTCCTCTTCCTCTTCAGGTCGTTTTTTGTCAGCTTTCTGATCCCGAGTCTCCACAATTTTTGGAGTAGGCTTGGATATTCTTGGAGATCGCCTTAACGTGCGGCCAACGCTGACATCTTCTGGCGGCGTTTCTGCCTTTCGCTTCCTACTGGAGATCCTGATGGTTAATTTAATTCCTTCTTTTTGTCTTTCAGAAGTTATTTCTTTATTATCTGTTGCACAGCTTTCTTCCTCAGAAACTAGCTGATATTTAAATTTGCTTTTAGGTACTGGAGATTCCTTTTTAGTCTCTGAAGAGTCCTCTAGGTTAGAAGCATGCGCATCATCTAATCTATCTGGCTCTGTCTTGGCAGTTTCTGGCTCTTCCTCTTGTTTTTCAGGGCTGGATTTTTCCTCTACTTTGCTTTCCTCAGGTAGAGCCATTTTACTATCAGAGTCCTCTTTTTCCAAAACAGGTAGAGCCATTTTACTATCAGAGTCCTCTTTTTCCAAAACAGGTTTCTCTACAGTAACAGGAGAAGTAGATTCAGGGGGGATCTCAGCAGCTTTTGGAGAATCAGGTTTCTCCTCAGACTCACCTTTGCTTTTTGAAGTCTCTTCATCAGACAGAGCAAGCTTGGGCAGTTCTGCAGGAGCAGATTCATTTGTGGACTTCTCTAGCTTCTCTAAACATTCTTTGGGTGATGGTGGCCTGTCCTTTGTGACGTTCATGGCTAGTTTCTCTTCAGTTGTTTTGGCGCTGTCTTCAGAGTTCAAAGACTCTTCCACTGCCATTTCAGTAGCTGTGCTGTCAAGGGACTCTTTTTCCACAGGACTAGATTCCTCCTTTAAAGGCACTTTCTGATTAGAAACCTCAGAGCCTGCAGCCCCTGTTTCTTTGACCACAGTTACAGCATTTTTCTCAACCTCCGAGGCTTTTATAATTTTACTAAGAGAATTTAAGGAGTCCGATACCTTTTCCTCACTTTTCCCATTTTTCTCTTTTAATGAGCTGCTCTCCTCCTTTGTGCTAGCAGAGTGTTCTGACTTACTATTCTGTATGACACTTGGGGTTATTTTTTCACAGCTGACCTCTCCATTTACTAGGACTTTCCCATCAGGACATAAAGCAGTAATTGTAGGGACTCTCTTAAAAGCTTCTTCTTCTGGTTTCCCTTCTTCCTTCAAGACATCCTTTGTTGGAGTAACACATTTACATAGGGGCCCTTTTATTGGGCTGTCATAGTCATCCGTCAGCTTGATCTCTCGCTTTTTAAGCGGTATTTTTGCCTGCTGGTCATTTTTAAGTTTCTCACTTTCTTCCACAGATTTCTCTACAATTTCTTGGGGCGTTTTGACATTAACACAAAAGTCTAACCTCTCTGGCTCATGAACTGCTATTTTGTCTGTACAACTTTTTACTTCTTTTAAGTCTTTTGTTTCTGTTTTGTTTTCCTTCACCTCTACTTTAACAGGCTTGACATTTTCTTTAAAGGAGTCACTTTCTTCTTTGACAGTTTGTTTTTCCTCATTGTATTCTGAGGGTTTCTCTAGTTTTACTATTACTGGCAATTTTATAATTTCTTTCTCTTCTACTTTCTCAATTTTCAGCATATTGTCATCTTCTTTGACTACAGGAAGAGGAAGGTTTTCCAATTCCATTGGCTGGTGCTCCACCTCCTCTTTTTCTTCTTTGATTTTTACTTGATTTTCTGTTGACAGAGAAAAACAACTGTGAAGCAACCAGGTGACCTACAGGATTGCAAAGAGCATCCATCAAAACAAAGGCCTATCTAAAAAACCCAAACAACTCAAGTCCCCCCAAGATGGCTCGTCTCTTATGGAATTGTCAGCAGTCTGGCTTACCTAATACTGGAATTAAATGAGCAGGTTGCCAATTCTCAGCTATAGAATCACAGTCTAGTTTAATTATATACCAAGATAAGACTAAATTTCAGAAGCTAGCAGCAGAATTCTAGATTTATTCTTCTTTATACAGAGATATCAGCCTCTTCTTCAGTAGGACCATAACACTTTCAGAGGATACATAAAACCTAAGCAGCGAGCACACAAAGCATCAACCTGAAGTCTCACTTGAGCTTCTGAATTATTTCACAAACCAGAACATGATAAGATTCCAAGGCCTTCAAGTGAAATTCCACATAGAAACCGGTCCCCTGTTTGCATGTGTTTTTATTTCAAGAAATACTTAACTATTGTATTTCAACAGTTCAGGGAAAGGAGAAGACATTCAACATTACAGCTTATGGCAAAATTCCCTTAGGTGCTCTAGGCAACGACTACATCTCCTACACGCTATCAAAACACAAATAACAGACAAAATTCTATAGTCTCCTCATCTGCCGTTGCTAAGACAGGCAGAGTGAGTAGTAGAATTATCGCAGAAATACCTTCAGAGCTTAAAGAATTAGGTTGAGCCTACTTTGCTAAGTCAGTTTTAAATTGTTACGTCTTAAATGCAGTTCCAGCATTCAGAACAAACCATACATCTGTTTTGTTATTATGTGCTTAAGTCTATTAGTTATCATTACTGCAGTCTCTGAATATCTCCAGGTTTTTATTTTACCATACTTTTTGAGTCAGCTAGTGATAGAACTCATTAGAAAAAGCAAATATAACAGCACTACCTATACTATAACAGCCTCTTCTACCACCTGGAAGATCTTATTGCAATGTGCCATAACTCCAAACAAAAAGATGATATTCTTCTACCTTGCCTGTCTCCTTCCTCCACACTAGTGTGATTCTTTTCCAAGATGAGAGCTTCCCAAAGTGCTTAGAAACATACGGAGGAAAGTCACAGCTAACTGAGTTACATTAAAGAAAATAAACATTTTAGAAAAGAGTGGTGAGGAAGAATTCATAATTTTTATAATATTTGCACACATAAAGCATGTATCCAAATAAAACTCAGCAATTAGTACAGCAGTGAAAGATGCATCTCTAAGGCACCAAGAAGGGCTAACATTTTGAAGGCTCAAAGCTGTGGTCTTATTTTTCCCCTTCATAGAAGTTGTCCCCACTCTGAGCCCTTGTAACAGTGAGAATTAAATACTTTTTCTGAGTCCGAATTCTTCTGTCCTCCCTTCACTTCTTTCTGTCTAAACTTTGTACATCCATTTCTTCCCATCACCTCCTGCTTTCTCCCAAACATCATCAAGGACCACTAGAATCCCCCAACTTCTCTATACTGCAAATTAACAGTTGTTCTATAGTTTAACTCCCCAAACTGCTCGAAAAACATTTCATATGCACTAAATAACTCAGCCAATGCACAACTTGTCTTAACACTACCGGAGTCAATCAATCTGGCAAGTAAAAAACAGGCAAGCATTGGTTCAGTTCACTCTATTTTTATGCTGTTGGGGAAGTGGCCCAAGCAAACAGCTACCAGGTCTTCCAATATGTTTTCACTGCACCTTAGAAGGGCTTTGAGTGTGGTTGTTGGACTAACAGAAGAAACACTAAAGCTTCTCAACTGAAAGGCTCTAAGTTGTGCTCTGTGAATACACTGACTGCACTTAAATCATTTCATTATTCATGACACAGAGGGGACTAGGAGTGATTTTGCATCAATACACAGCCTAACACAAGTACTGACCCGGGTGAGGGTGTCATTGGATTCAGGGAGTTATCTACAGTGGGGACATAGTTAACATGTTTTCAGATGGCTCCTCCCAAATCCAATGTAAAGTAAAATCATTTCTGAAGCAGAGATCTTGATTAGATGACTTAATCTCTCTTGACCAATTTTTAGTGAGACAAGGTCAGGATCAGTACTTGGAATTGATTCTGTAGTGTCAGTACCACGCAGGTTATGTTGTCTCTTACATGCAGAGTCAGATACTGGAAGTGCCTTAAGCTGAAAGATAATTTGGTGTTTTGCCACAATTTACTGCAATTTCTACAGTAGTCTTTTAATGCTTCCACGACAACTCAAATTTTATCTAAATGTTTTATTTATTTCTTCTGTTCTACACTGTTTGTTGCAAAGAATAAAGTAGCAAGCCTTTCTCTTTGATACTCAGAGCTAAGACAGGTCTTGGCTAATTCCATGTACCAAATTAACTTAAACAGAGTTGAAGAAACACAAACTAACAAATTGGAATCCCTCAATCTTGTTTTGACCATGAAAATATTTTCCTGTGTTTTAAGAAAATTATAACACCAGGTAGTAACTGGGGTAAAATTTCTTGAGAATGGTCTTTTAGCTATTCACAACCTGAAAAAAAGAATGGATTCTTCTAATGTAAAATACTTCAGGCTGATACTTAGGAAAACCAATGCACAAATCAGGCCAGTTATTAAATATGTGCAATGACATGATAATAAGGAAAATAGGTTCTTATTTCCTTTCTAGTAAGAACAGTGGAGGCAGCTAAGGACCACTTCTCTTCTAAAATATTTTAGTATTTTAAATTGTTTTAACTTCAGCTCGTGTCTTCTTGAAAAATCATGTAGATTGTGAAACAGTTGAGGAGACAATTGTTTTTTTTGATTTAAACTCAAAACCAAAAATAAACAACACACCAAATACTGTATTGATTTCAATCATGGCATTGCACAAACAGATTTTTTTCTTTTTAAAATTTTAATGTTACTAGAACAAGAAAAGTTTGGCAACAGTTCAATGCCCCATAAAAACATACAATGATGAGCACTTACAGTATTATACAGAATGTACAGCAAAAATAAAATTACTTAGAAAACAGTTTAAACACAGCTCTCTTCTTATAAATAAGCTCTCAAGCCTAAATATACACTAAAAACCTCCAAAAATATTTATCATTTTAAAGTATTTATTATTTATTTGATTTATTTTGTGGTGGTTTTAGTTGGTTTGTTTTGTTGTTTGTTTTTTTTAAGTCCTAATACTAACACAGTAACTTTTCATGAAGTTGAAATAACTACTATTGCCACAGCACAATATTTAAAATTTGAGAAAAGAAGGCAGAAAACCTTGTGTAGATGCTTCTTCACCCTTTTTGTTGTCTTCATCTTCTATGCTTGGGCTTTCCCGTGATGAATTCTCCTGCTGAGAAGTGTTGTTTTTCAACAAGGCAGGATCAATTTGTGCCTTCAAGAGCTCAAGGGTCTCAGCAAGCTCATTGCGGTTTCTAGATGACAAAAGCAAAAACATACTGTCTGATAAACCACTTACCCCAGAGGGATTCATAAAAAATAAACACCATCTGCTTAAACAAACGCTGCCCTGAAAGCCTGGTATACAAGCAGAGTGAAATGCCTGTCCCACCACAGCAGCTGCAACTTCACAGTCAGAAACCTTCCAATTTATCCATAAAAATCTCTTTTCTGGAAGGACCATATCCCTGTTTGGTCCGCATCCAAGCTGCTACTATTATTCTTTTATTTATTATCTTCTTACCAATCCTCACCAATTTTTCTTTGCAATTTCTTTTTTCTCTCATTGGAAAGGAAGTTTTAGTTTTCCGCCCATGCACCAAAGAAGCAACCACATCATTCAAGCAAAATTTTCAAAAGCAATCCAGTAATTCAGATACTTTTTGCAAGTACCTAAGAACATGTCACAATACAAAGTTGTCTAGAAAACTCCAGCTACCTAAGCTATGACAGAGAGAAAATGTTTGTACATCTGCGTGTGAATCCCAGTGCTCTGCAACTCCTTATTTCAACTGGACTTCTAACTATAAAAACCAACACCTTAATGTATAGTGAATTTGAGCAATGATTAAACAGTCACTGGTTTTGTGATAGGCTACAATAATGAGGCTCCTGTGCTTCTTTTTTCAAAGTCAACATTTGACAATTTGTTTTGCTCAGGTTTACAGAAAGAAAAGGAACCTGTGAGGTGCAACAACTGAGATGTGGAATCTCTCGAATTTTAACCACGTCAGATTTGACAGTACTGAGGGATGTCAGAACTTTCCCAGAAGAATCCCCATTGCTTTTGACACTGATCTCCGGAGTCTACAGCACATGAAGAGAGAGAAACACGGTTCAGCTCTTGATCGGTTTGTTCAGATACGTTTACTTTGTTGACCACAACAGCTGTCTGAGTTTCAGTGGCACTACTGCTTATCATTCTATGGCCCGTTGATAGTGGTTAAGCAATTTTCTATGACTTCCTTGGTTATTAAAGTTACAGATACGTAAATGAGCTGCAGATACCAAAATTAAAATTTACAAATAGAAAAAAAAAAAAATTTACTATTTTTTATATCTATTTTTATATCTCTACATACTTTATAAATTGATTGAGTCCAGTTTAAAATCCATTTGGAACAAATCAAATTTGAAAAAAGAATTTCCAATTGGACTAATAAAAAAAGTTTCCATACAGATAAACTAAAAATAGGTAACTGGTAGATAGGAAACAAATTTCAAGCTAATTTTTTTTCTCCAGTAAGACAGATCACATATACTTTCCCTAGAGAAGAAAAGTGAAAAACAAAAGATGGAACAAATATCACAAAACCACAACGTAAATCTGAAGCTAAAATATTAAAATATGAACAGACCAGTCTGCAGCAAGCGAGACCCAGAGGCACTGGACCATGCACACACATAAGTCTGCACCAAAGTCAGGGACTTTGGCTTTAGTGATCTAGGAGCTGAACTCTACTCCAGAAGATTTTTCGTGCCTATTTGTACCGTCAACAGGTACAATGTAGTTCCAGGAAGTTAAACTTGCAACGTAATTCCCCCAAGAACAAAATTGTCCACTTGTTATTTTCTTAATAGAGCAGAAGTTAAAGAACCAAGAGTCCTCTTCCATTTTTTAAGGCATTTAGCTCGCCAGTGAGCAATATGGCGCCATCCTCAAGAGTCTTCTCTTGGTACCCTTTTCCACATATCCATTGTAGCTTGATTAAGCAAAAAACAAATTGGATATTTGTTATAATTTTGTATCTATGTACGATTTGGCTATGTTGGCTATTACCAACAAACCCACGAGTTATTTCTTGACATGGTTTTTCACTAAAACATAATTGTGAAGGCAGAAAATCCCAGTGTCACATATCCCACTCTGTGAGAAATGGAGATTTATTGAAATAAATTTCTGAGCTCCCGTTGCTTACAGGTAAAACGCCTACAAAATAAAGGGTGGAAAAAAAGGAAAAAAAAGAAGGAATACCTAACAATGCACTTCCATGTGGATCCATCCTGGTCATCCTGTTCTTCTATGTACATCCTGACATTATGCTCCTGATCCAGCTGATACCAATACATCAGGCCATCCTTGTCTCGACCAATGGGCTGGAGACGCATGGCGTCAGCATCCTCCTCATTAATTATATTCTTAAACTTTAGATTGTCATCAAATTGACATTCACAGAGATACTGGAAAAAGCAAGAAAGCAGAAAGACTGTTAAAATACCAAAATATAAACAGAAATAAGAAAATCAGCTCATTTCTTTTCAGTGTAATCTGTAACTTCTTTTTTGGCCTCTCCCCACTAGATCTGTGAGTCAGCTACTGCTATCGAGATCTATTCCAGATCGTGTTCTTTTTAAACAAGAGACAAGTTTTTGGTTTGGTTTTATCTTTCCTGGCCAGCTTAGAAAGTTGGGGGGTTTTTTTGAGTTGTTTGTTTTTACATCTTGCAAGTGATCTTATTCCACAATAAAACACACACGTAACTTGGATCCAACCCTGACAGTTTTCTCAAGACTTGATGAGATCAAGTCTCATCTTTGCCCTTGGAATTCAGCAATAAAACTTTTATGAGGTGTATTGAACAGGCAAATACCTAATGACCAAACAGAAAGTACAAAACAAGTTTCATATAAAATGTGAAAAATATGCAAGCAAAGTGTTCCGTTCAGTCTGGGCCCATCCTGCTACAATGAACATCATGTCTGTTACACCATCAGCTCTGTATTTAATACATCTACTTGTGGTTCAGTCAAGCTAAATTTGCAAAATGTTTAAGTGAGAAAGCCAAATCTCCAAGATGCCCCTGACCATGGCAGGGATGATGGAACTACATGACCTTTAATGTCCCTTCCAACCCAAACTATTTTATGATTCTATGATATTTAAGTGAGTGAGGGAGAAAGTCCTTTAGAAACTTAGTGGATAAACGTGTACCTTCAGAATCCCCAGTTTGCATTCAACACTCATTTCTAGGTATCCTTTTTTTTCCATCTCCCAAGCCCAAGTGCTGTTGAATTCTTGGCATATCTGTCGCAAACAAAATAATAAAGGTTGCTGGGGTTAGTGCATAAAAGCGACTTTAAACTTTTATATTAATAGTACTTTACTGTAGCAATCATTATACATGAGCTCTTCAGGACTGCAGGCCAGAAAGCCTCACAAAAAATAAAAAGTAGGACTGGGGAAAGCAGGCAAGCACTGGCATATCTCCATGGAAGAGCAGCTCATCAAGGCCATGATCACCACCAATTTCTCTACATCTTCTTAAATTAAGCAGCACAACCCCCAGTTGGGAAGGTATCCTTGTCTTTGTTGTGCAAAATCTTCCATTTTTCTATTTCTGACTTGTCTATTTAGAATATAAATTCTCTCAAGGAGATACGATTTCTTATTATATCTTCTTACAGCATTTAGCACATAAGCTGCCAAGCTCTCTTGGGGCTCTCTAAGTCTACAACTATACTGCAGATACTCAATGCATGCTGTGGAATTATTATTCTCAAGAAAATACCTTGGGCCTCAAGCTGCTTGATAAATATTTTTAAATATTTTAAGTATAGCCAATTTCAATACACTTAAAGCAAATAAATTCAATGGAACCAGCATGGGGGGGGAATGAAGACACAAAAAAAGTGGCAGTAGAGGAAAAATAGATTGAGTCAGTGGGAGCTCAAATAATGACAGAGGAGAAGGAATTCCCTAACCTCCTGAACAACTCGGGCATGCTTAAGACAACTTCTGTGAACAGAGAAGAGCTGCTTATCAATTGAGGGCACATGGTGGGATCTGCAATCAGTGAGGCTATTCTAGTGGAAACACCCGTCAGAAGGAGAGGAAGGCTAATCACAGCTACATCTCCAGTCAGGTTTATTCTGAAGTACCAGTGTTGAATCATGGCTGTCCAAATTAGCACATGAGGTACTGCAAGGAAGCAAAGCCCTGCTGAATAGACTTGATCAAAAGAATATAGTCTCCCAAACACCAAACGATTACTAAATACAAGATACAGTCACTAAGCTACCTAGAAACCCATAAATGGCACCTGAAAGCAGCTTTCTCTGGAAACAGCAGCAAAAATAACCCTGAATTTCACCCACCAGAAGTACGGAACAGCCGATTCATGTTGGCTACAGCCAAGAAAGGGGCCACTGCCCCTCCTCTGTCCCCACAGCTGTGCTACGTAGCCATCTGCTACCCCTAGTACTGACACTGCTTCTTCAGTGACCCAAGGGTAAGCCTGCAGTTAGGTAGGCTCAGCCACACCATAAATCATACTCTGACTTTACACTACAACCTACAGAGAACGGTGAGGAGAGCACTCTCTGGTCACAACAAATTCTGCTGGAGAGCAGTTTTTCCTGCTCCAAGGTTAAGGAATGTTACACAGGTACCTCTCTGATGCAAAGCCAAAGCTGCCAGCGAGAGACAAGCACTGCTCACTCACATAACGAGGTTACTCTGCTTTCTCTCTCATTTTCCAACATGAAGAATGCTGGGAAACTGTGTTATCAAAACCCGTGCTAAGGGCACATGCCAATCGCTGTTCATTACCTGCTCATCAACTATGAAGGCAATAATGAAAAGTTTCCTGTGCTTTGGAAGCATGTGAGTGTCAAACCAAAAGCTCAGAGACATCAGAGCTGATGAAGCATCTGTTCAAACTGAAATGATGACATTTTGATAGTTAAAACCCAAAGGATCGTGCTTTCTCCTGACAAGTAGTCAGATCCCTGAAGTACACATCTCACCAATTCAGGCTCACTGAGACATCAGCCTTTGCCTTCACAGAGGGGCTGTTCCACGCTGATCAAAACCCTGCTGCTGGTGGGAGCAGCGGGCTTCCGCATGCTGAGGAGTGGTCAGCACCTCTCACCTGCAGAACAAGCCCTGGAACTTCTCTCTCTCAAATTATTTCCAAAGCAGCTACGAAGGCATACAACATTTACTATTACCAGGCTCCAAATGTTCACTTTAAACAATGAAAACAGGAAGGTGAAAGACACAGCAGAGGAGTTTGCTTGGGTGGGACTACAGTGAGAAAAGACAGAGTGTTCAGAATGTGCTGATTTCAGGGTTGAAGGTTCCAGACAGACCAGTCCAGAGAAATCTTATCTGTATAAAACCACAAAATATGCTTGACAATAGTCAAGCCAGGCGTTTTGCCAAGAGACACCACAATGTGAATTAACTCCGCTATGTGTTTCTCAAAAACCAGCTAAGCTGGACAATTCCTCTAGCTGTTAAATTGTTTAGGACCAGCCATTTCTTCATCTCAGTCATACATGACCACACACATTCCTTGCACAGAGGAGAAGTGAGATTCCTGGAGCCATTTTCTCCCAGACAAGACTCATGTGTATGCTGGTGAGCTAGTTTGGGTGGTTCACCATCAGAAGAGGGAAAGGGAAAGAACTCTCAACTATCATGTTCACTTCCTATCCCAAAATAAATTCATCTGTCTAAATACCAGCCACAGCTTAGAGACATTTTTTGATAATGTTCTTTATAAGCACAGCAGTCAAATGAAGTGTATCTTATAAACAGTTGGTATATAAACAAAACATAGTAGTAACATATATACAGAAATATTAAAGCATGTAAATTTGAATGTCCTCCACTTACACGTTCCTCCTAAATCAGAAAACAATCACATCTAGAATATATCAAACCCTGTTTTATCAAAGCAACACTTACAGTGGTATCTAACAAGGAAAACCAGGCCAACATTGCCTCTTAGAGGATGTTGAACAGTACTGCAGGCATCTAGGAAGAATGCTCTCATGGTTCCACACCCTTTCATTTTTTTCTGGCTTTTGTGGTATTTCCCAATACTCTTTGTTGTTTTTCTAAATTCATTACACCCTTTTGAAATTGGAACAGTATTAGCATACCTCTCTAATTAGTTATATTCAAATTCCTTTGTTCTACAAGTTTCTTTGAATGCTAGAATAAGCTTCACATTAGCTGTGGAGACTGTTAAACGAAGTAGAATTTATTACTGCTTGCCTGGTGCTGACAGGGCTGTGTGGGAGGGTTTCCTTGCCACTTTCCCATCCTTCCAGTACCTGGTGAAGGAAGATTTTCCAAACTGCTCCTTCATAAACGTGTTATGTCCCTCTGCTTTCTGCTTACCCCACAAGTGGTAAGTGGGTTCAATGGGGGATGTAAATTCACTGGTCAGAGTTGGGTTTTCTCAGCTTGTATATCAAGGATTTAACACAATTCAGTAACTGCAGTACTTGGCAATATACAAAGTACACCCAAGTTACAAAAATTATCACATTATTATTATATTAAAGCATCATCATAAATACTTAACAGCCACTTAATAAATTAGATTTAACCTAAAGCCCTTCAGCAAGTTATTTCCTGACATAGTCCCAGTCCTAAAAACACCATCATCTTAACACTACAGAAACCTCAAGACAAATCCCTGTCTCTGCAAAGCTTAGAGATGGCCCTTAAGTGGGAAACCTGCAACTGGATCTGCCAAGTGCCATTATTTGGACCGTTGCTGTTACCACAATGCTGTATGTCTAAGGAAAACGTGATCATGGCTGTACAGGCAATACCAAGACTATGGTTTTGTGGAATAAAAGGCACATGGAACATAACTGGAGTGGAAATGGTCATTTATTGATTTAGAATATTTATGTATTTTTCTTTCCTGAAGCTGTGTAAATTCTTTAAACTGAAAACTATGTACATGTAATGTGCTAACAATGGCATGGCCACAATTAAAATGCTAGCACAGAATTTTGTTCAACAGTATGATTCTGTACTCTTTAGGGACGTGTAACTGCATTTTCATCCTAGCTGTGCCATTCTGAGCATGCAGATACAAATCACTGCAATACTTCCATTTAGTACTAACACATGCTACAAGAATCCCACATGGTTAGTCCCTGCATGGATATCCATCAGATCACAGCAATTAAATCATATCCAGACAACTGGGCCACAAAAATGATGCAAGGGATGGAACCCCTCTGCTGTGTGGACAGGCTGAGAGTTGGGGTTGTTCAGCCTGGAGAAGGCTCCCGGGAGACCTTATTGCAGCCTTTCAGTATTTAAAGGGGGCCTAGAGTAAGGATGGCGACAATCTTTTTAGCAGGGTCTGCTGTGACACAGCAAGGGGTAACAATCTGAAACTAAAAGAGGGAGATTTAGACTAGACAGAAGGAAAACAATTTCTACACTGAGGGTGGTGAGCCCCTGGCCTAGGTTGCCCAGAGAGGTGGTTGATGCCCCAATCCCTGGAACCTTCCAGATCAGGTTGAACAGAGCTCTGAGCAACCTGCTCTAGTTGCAGATGTCTCTGCTCAGTGCAGGGGGTTGGACTAGATGGTCTTTAATGGTCCCTTCAACCCAAAAAATTCTATGCTTCTATGATCTGGTAATAAATGAATTGTCATTGTGTAAGTCTCTCTGCTCAGTTTAACCCATTTGCAGGCTACTATATCTCCTTTACTTAGGGTCTTCATGCTCAGAGAAGTATTTTACTACTGGGGTGCAGTAAGAAGTTACAGTCTTACATGCAGAAGATATTGTCTGTTTCCAGAGAAATTTTTTTTTTAAGCAAGCCTAGGCAGAGCAAAAGTTAAGCTGGGATCTTATGTAACTAAAGCCTGGGCACGTACATCCATGTTGGCCCCAGCACAGGCCAAGGCTCACTCCAATTCATACCAGGGACTTCTGACACAACAGCTCAATACAACCGTATTCCAGCATGGCAGGATAATACAACATGCATATTGTACCTTGATCAAATATTTTTCCCATCTGTCTGCTGTGACAGACTTCCCAATCTTTCTCATCAGTTTCAAGTGAAGCTCCACCAATTCTTTTGGAACTGCAGTATTGAGAGAGAGAAAAAAAATAAGAAGTTATGAACACTGGTGTGAATATACTTCCATGTCAAACACTGATAACACTGTGACAAATAGACAAATTTTAATAAAACATAGGAACTTCAAGTCTGCTGAAGTGTCAGTCCCACAGCTGAGAGATGGAGGAAGGTTAATTTAATCACAAAGGGTCTTTCTGTTTAGATTTACATTTATGATGACCATTGTCCTTCCTGTGCCCGCCCTTAAACTCAAGGAAACATACCTCAGTGATAAATATGTAAAAAATCTGGCAGCCTTAGAACAGCAACTGGACAGGAATTACGCCAGTCAAGCACCTACAAAAACACTACTGTGAGCAGCACACCTGCAGCTGGCTCCAAAACCCCCAAAGGCATCCTGGAACGTTGCCGAATCCAAACTATTTTTGGCTGAGTGCGTGGTATGGGAGAAATGCTCCAGAAACTTTGTCCTCACCCATGTAGCTTTTCTATATACTTACTCTCTTTTCTGCTGGAGGGGCAGAGGGGGACTTGGGAGCTGGGGCTCGAGGGATGGAGGCTAGGACTGCTGCCCAGTCCAACTGCACCAGTGCCACCACAGGATCAAAGTTTCCTAGCCAAATTTTACTCATCTCTTAGAGTACACTCCTCAGATACAACTTCAACAGCTCAGCTCAGCTCGCAGCTGTGATTTGTACATCAATCTGGCACCACCAAGTGGCAAATTTGCAGAACATCAATTTTATAAGCTAGTGAGTAGGACAACTTTTGGAAAATACGAAAGTGATAGCTATTAATGCAACTGTACATGCCCAGTGACATAAGCGTTCTCATTTGTCATTTTTGAGGAAACTTAAAGAAATGAACTTTTCAAGTATTTTGATTTCTCTGCTCTTTGCATACAATTCCATTTTCTGAAAGCCTTTTCATTACACACACACACTTTTAAAGTTTAAACCCAAGAACTTTTATGATCAGAACTTACGATTACAGTTCTTCTGGTCACCCACCGATATCACCTGGCACAGTATAAAAGCTGGGACAGCAAATGTGTTGCTTCTAAACCAGACGTTACCGAGATGCTATTTCTTGGTGTACACTGATCTGTACAACATTTGAATAGCTGCAAGAATCTTTTCAATATTTAACTTGAATTCACCTAACTGTTATTTGTTTTTCAAGCAAATATCTCTGTTTTCAGGTGAACATATTGAGTCAGTAAAATATCAGTGTGATGGAAATGCTCCTGTCATTTCAGAAGTAAATCACCACTGCTGGCCTGTAGCCAGAAGTTTAATGCACAAAACCCTTCAATAAATATATAAAGTACCAGCCTAGTACCCAAAAAGAGGCTCCTTTCAATGTCAGTAATTCCTAAGCAACTCTGAACCAGCCCTGACTTATTCTCTTCTATTCTATTTATATTATCACCAGTATATATTGAAGAAACTTAGCACATCTCTTCCTTGAATTCCTGAAAATTGGTGCATTTCATGATTTAAACTATCACATATTTTAAAAGGAATAATATCAAAGGTCTTAATCCATGACAGGTGTTGAGCACTTGACACTAACGAAATCAAGCACAAAGCACTTAACACACATGAGCAATTCTATCAAAGCCAACTCACAAAATCAAACCCCAACCTGGGATTGTGTGACATGGAACTGAGCCAGAGTATTCAAGATCTTGCTGGATCAAAGCTTTTGTTCTGCATATTTTGTTTGTTTTTAATCAGATCTCCTTTTAACAGGTACACATTGATTGGAATCCTAGTTTAAAGAAGCACACGAGTGATTTTGAGTAATCCAATCCCCAGTTGCCACAAGAATCTTTGCTAGAGCAGTAGTCTTAGAAGAAATTGGCCACTTAGAAGTGGTCATGGTAGTGCTGGGTTGATGGCTGCACTTAATGATCTTAGACATCTTTTCCAACCTTAATGATTCTATGAAATGGAGAATGTTCAAAATTGAAAAATTAGAAAGTAATTTTGCACACCCTTGGTCAGCACTTACTGTCACTTGTGTTAGAAGCTACAGAAAACCCATTTCTTTTCTCAGATTCCATCATTTCAGCTCTTGCTTTTCTGGGATCCTGCTGATGTATGGATGTGGTTATTTTCACAAACTTCACAGAACATTTCAAATCCATTATCTGTTTACTTATTACCCTTCGAAGAGGTTTTTCACATATAACAATACTAATGACCAGCTATCTAGGCTGGCTTTTTGCCAGTCCCCTTGTAAGCACTTGGAGAAATCACCCACACACCATTCTCCTTGTTCTAAGGAATGAGGTGGGAGTTCTGGAGAAGAAAACTGCTGTCCTGTCTGCAGGCAGAGACGAGCGAGTGTGTGAAGGGCAGCCTGACCAGCCAGGGTGCTTCAATGACAGCAGGAGCAGAAGCCTGTGGGACTGAGAAACAAACTCTGCATTGAAACCAAAGTATTCTTCTGTAAAGAATATATGGATTCCATGCAGCAGTGTACACCTGGCTTGCCAGGAAACAGCAGCCCAGGGAGGAGTAGTAAGAAACCTGAAGAGTGGTAGCAAATCCATCTGCTCCTCTGACAAGGAGTATGAGTGCACTAGTAAAGGGGACCAACACTTCAGTTGCCTCAGAAATGCATTGTATCTGACTTTGAATTAACTTACTTTTCTTCAGAATATAGAAAGAATTCTTGACAAGAGATCATCGTAGTGGGACATCAATAAGGATCATTTTTACAACACACTTCTAATCCTACTCGTAGCATACAAAAGGTAATGAACATGAGATGTAATTACTTGTGGGTTGTCCTGGGTTGTTTTTAAATAACAGTGGACTAACACCTCCTTCGTAAAATATCATCTCCAGTCATATGGGACCTGCAACACTCATTTCAGGAACTCACAAAACAACTTAATAATATTTTGCCTTTTTTTTTTTTTTTTAAGTTTCACATAAAGGCAGGAACAATACACAGCACCTTTCTTGCATAACAGCCACTCTGAGTAAGGTTTTGGCCAAAAGCAAACATACACAAAAAAACCCTTAAATATGAAAGACATTCTAGGACTTTTACGAAACATTGAACTCTCTGGAAAGTCATAAAATACTTTCTATTATTTTTAATAATAAAAAACTCTCTAAAATCCTCATTGAATAACTTAAGTGGTGGAGAAAGGACCAGGACTCTGTGCACAGGGCTAATAAAAATTGTAACAGTGCTATTTAAAACTAAAAACCGCTTCAATGAATCAAGTATAATTAAACCATGGTGCCATCTGCTAGATATTCAAAAATATAGACTTTTCATAGGAAGAAGCCATGAGTCAGAAAGAATGAGTCACTGTATATACAATTATAGGGCTTCTGGTAGAGTTCAGCCCATTTTATGTCCTGCACTTTCCTGGTGGGCAGGCTCTTGCCTGGGCCTCAGACAATATCCTTCAAACACTATTCCATATACCTCAGCTTTTCAGGGAATGTCCCACACATCAGTCACACATTTCTAATAAATTCAGGAAAGACAGAAAATTGAAAGGGAAGAGAAAATGTACGGAAACACCATCATCTGGTTAGGAAAGCTGGAACTCTGAAACACCTGTGCAACCATGAAAGACCTGGCTGTGGGTCCCCATGAACACCTTCCCACATAAACATAACCCCATTTCACCTCTGCTTACTTTCCCTGCGAAAATGAATATTCATAGAATCGTCATGGTTGGAAAGGACCTCTAGGATCATCAAGTCCAACCTCCCTCCCAGCATTTCCCTAACCACTAGACCATAGCCTCAAGTGCTACATCTACTCATTTTTTGAAACCTCCAAGGATGATGACTCCACCACCTCCCTGGGCAGCTCGTTCCAGTGCCTCACCACTCTCTCAGTGAAGAAATTCTTCCTAATATACAATCAAACCTTCCTTGGCGCTACTTGAGGCCATTTCCTCTCATCCTATCATCAGTAATATGGGAGAAGAGACCAACACCAGCTTCACTACAACCTCCTTTTATGTAGTTGTAGAGAACTACCTAAGGTCACCTCTCAGCTTCCTCTTCTGCAGACTAAACTACCCCAGGTCCCTCAGCCAGGCTCCATAAGGCACAATCATCTCACTGGTCACGCTGCTCACACTGTTTCTGATCCAGGCCAGGATGCCGTTGGCCTTCTTGGCCACCTGGGCACACCGCTGGCTCGTGTTCAGCTGGATGGCCACCACACCACCCAGGGCCTTTTCCACCAGGCAGCTTTCCAGGCACTCCTCCCCACGCACGGAGGGAGTTGTTGTGACCCAAGTGCAGGACCAGGCACTTGGCCTTAACCTCAGCCCATTACTCCAGCCTGTCCAGATCCCTCTGCAGAGCCTTCCTACCCTCGAGCAGATCAACACTCCCACTTAACTTTATGTCATCTGCAAATTTACTGAGGATGCATTCAATCCCCTCATCCAGGTCACTGATAAAGAAGACTGGTCCCAGAACTGAGCCCTGAGGGACACCACTCGTGACTGGCCACCAAGTGGATCTAACTCCATTCCCCACACCTCTCTGTGCTCGCCCATCCAGCCAGTTTTTAACCCAGCCAAGAGTCCACCTGTCCAGGCCATGAGCCGCCAGCTTCTCCAGCAGAATGCTGTGGGAAACGGTATCAAATGCCTTCCTGAAACCCAAGTAGACTACATCCACCACTCCTCCCTCATCCATTAGATGAGTCACCTGACTGTAGATCTCCTTCTTCAGGTTGGTTAAACAGGACTTGCCCTTCATGAACCCGTGTTGGCTTGACCTGATCCTCCTGTTGTCCTGCACTTGCTGAACATGCTCACAGCTCAACACTCCCCCAAACAAAAGTGAAATAGAGGAGGACCCACAAAACACAAGTGGCAAAGACGTGGGTGTGGAGGGAGGATGGGGGAACTTTTTTGGATAACGATTGCCAATAAAGAAGCTTTGGAGCAGAGCAGATGTGTAGTGCTGGACACAGAGTAGCAGATCAGAGGTTCACGGGGT